ATCGAATACGACCCGTAACTTAGTTGTAAGGCTTGATAACTTCATCACTGGATGATGTGGTAGATAGAATGCAGCATTTGGCTGGTTCTCTTCCTTGCTCACTATTTTCATGTGTCCCATTTTTAAATACTCTTCCATAAATTGAGTGTATTGCAGACGCAGTTCTGGTTCACGTTGCAGCCTCCGTTCAACGCTGAGAAATCTTGCTGTTGCCATTTCTAGAGTTCTTCCAACGTTACGTGCGTCTGACTTCAATGGCAGTCGCAGAACGAATCTTCCTGCCTGATCTCGCTTTGCAGTTTCGTCAAAATGTTTGAGAGCTTTCTGTTCTTCAATACATTTCTTATTTGGTTTTGATGCAACTCCATACACTTCAGATTCATTATTGCTTGGTATCCTGAGATTGTCCTSGCAGGTTTCACCAATTGAACATGTAGCCAAAAGTGAGATAGTGCCCACCTCTCCTGTAACAAGCCACCCAAACTTTGAGTCTTGCAAGCAAACAGCTTCCTTTTGTGACCTGATCCTTGCCGGCTCAATTAAATCATAAAAGATACCGCCACCAATGAGCAAGTCAACACTTCCTGTTGAATCGAACGACGGGWCGGCCAGTTGTGGTACTAGTTCTTCTGGAATCTCCCATCCACCYTTCGGTTTTGAACAACTTGGTAAGGCATCTATCACTATTGGTAGTATGTGACAAACCAAGTCGACTTCAAATTGCTTTACTCGAGATTTCACCTTGAYTGATATACTTGAGACAGACTGTGTTCGATTTGCTCCAATGCCACTTATAGGGAGTATCGTTCTATTGCGTGGAAGTTGCAATAAATTAGCGAAGCTTTTGGATACAAAGTTCATCTGTGATCCATTGTCCAATATAACACGACATGTTTTGAATTCACCGTACCGATCTTCTGCCAGAGCAGATGCTGTAGAAAGAAACACATGACCATTTCCTCCTTGTGMGGGACWTGCTACACTATGACTTGAATCTTGGCTTGAGGTAGTATCAATGTTGCTTTTAGCTTGATCTAAAACACTGATTTGGCCAGCTGTAAGTGGCTTCTCATAATGAAGAAGTGTGTTGTGCTTCTGCTTGCACCTTTGACACGTATAAGTTGATCTGCAGCTTTCAGCAGAGTGGAACGGACCTAAACAGTTGAAGCATAGCTGWGATACTCTTGCCATGCTCAAGCGTTCCGTTACTGGGAGAGCTTTGAACTGCTCACACGCAAACAACCTATGACTTTCAGAGCAACATGRACACGGGCGGACTGGCCTATTATTAGTAGAAATTAACACCTTCCTTGTAAKCTGAGGTGTCTTAGAGAACATCGTCTTASGATTATTAATATTGGTGAGCTTAGTAGAAATTGTGTTTGGACATACAGTCTCCGAGCTTTCCATTGCTACGCATCGACTAGCCAAAAATGCTTCGAGATCCTTATATGCTGGTAACTCAGTATTCCTCAAATGAAGCTGCCAACTATGTCCGGTACCCTTGTCTAACCTACTTGTTATTATTGTGATTAACCATGCATCCCAGTGATCCACAGGTTGCCCTAGTGTCCTCAGAGCCGCAACATGTGTGGAAACGTTCGAGTGCAACCTTTGTAATGCGTTGGCTGACATCTCCTCAACAGCAGGCATCTCTAAGATCGACCGGAYATGTGATTGAATCACCAGACTCTTATTATCGTACCTTTGCTTAAGCTTTTCTAATACGACCTCATAATTTCCATCACTTATTGGGATAGACTGGACTAAATCTAACGCTTGATCCCTCAAACATGAACGTAAATAATAAAATTTCTGTGCAGAAGTAAAACAATCATCGTCGTGAACCGCTGCACGATATACATCATAGAACGATGACCAACCTTGTATATCCCCATTAAACTTAGGTAAAGGTATAGGTGCTAGCTGCATGCGCTGCCTTGTGGAGGTGTTCCCAAATGAAGTGTTTTGCCCAGTTGTATTATGATGCTTTTCTGCGTTGGCTAATTCCTGAATTTTAGCTCTTAGCTCATAATAACTAGTCTCAAATTTATCTCTCTCAGCTTCTGCAGCCTCCGCTTCATCAACAGCCAGCAATTCAATCTCACTCTGTATAGTATCAAATTTTCGATTAATGAGTGGGAGTTCCTCTTGTCTAAAATCCAATAACGAAATTGACTGCTCAGTTGGATCATAACTGTCAACAAACTTAGCTATCCGTGTTAATGACGCCTTTACTACACCCCTCTTTCTCTTCAGGTCTGCAAGAGCCTTCTGCTCATTAGAGTCTAGCACCATATTGTTTAAGACAAAATAATAATAGTAATTATAATCAGCTCAAGAAAAATCAATTG